AGTTCCACAGAGTCTGCAAGATGGAGCTCTTCCGCCAGGCTTTTGAATAGGAGCCGCCACCACTAGTGCACCACCAACGCACTAGTTACCATCAAGGCCCCATATATGAACATCAGGAGGGGGCATGTTCCATCAATGCTCCATAATCGCTGCACTATGGGCGAGAACGGGAGGTGTTGGGGGTGGCCATCTTGCCTCTAGAAATTGTAATTTGGAAATTGGAAACTGACTGAGAGGAGCACCAAAATTGGCTTAATGTGATGTATTTTACCATTTTGTATTGTTTTATTGTTTTATCTGGCGATACGCCCTGTAAGCCGCCCTGAGCCTCCGAGGAGGGCGGGATAGAAATGTGAATAATAAATAAATAAATAAATGGGGCTTTGAAAGACAGTACAGATTTGAAGGAGAGAGAGAGAGAGAGAGAGAGAGAGAGAGAGAGAGAGAGAGAGAGATAGAGAGAGAGAGAGAGAGAGAAAGAAAGAAAGAAAGAAAGAAAGAAAGAAAGAAAGAAAGAAAGAAAGAAAGGAGAAGAAGAGGAGGAGGAGGAGGAGGAAATTGGACTTATAGTCCACCCTTCTCTCAGAATCTCAGAGCGGTTTACAATCTCCTTCCCTTCCTCTCCCCACAACAGACACCCTGTGAGGTAGGTGGGACCGAGAGAGCTCTGAGAGAACTGCTCTTGAGAGAACTGCTCTGTGAGAACTTATGCCTTTCCCAAGGTCACCCAGCAGCTACATGTAGAGGAGTGGGGAATCAAACCCAGTTCTCCAGATTAGAGTCCACCACGCTTAACGACTACACCAAACTGGCTCTGAAATTCTGGTAGAAAAACCTACCAGAATTCTAAACATGTGAGTGTCCTGGAGCAAACATTTTAAGATGGTTGAGTTTTGAGTGTTCTGGAGCAAAAAAAATTCAGATGGTTAGGTTTCAATAAGGATCCATGAATAGGGAGTCCCGTTACTGCGGACCAGCTGAATACAATAGGTTGGATATTAAGACTCGTTTCCACTGGCACAACACTCTCTTCTGTTGCAGCAGTAATCCTCTACTGTGAAGCATGTTCCTTTGGCATTAGGAATCGC